AAACTCTTTCTATGAGGCTAGTATCACCCTGATACCAAAGCCAGACAAAGACACATCAAGGAAAGAAAACTTCAGACCAACATCTGTGATGAACATAGACACAAAAATTTTCAATAAAATTCTGGCAAATCACATACAAAAAACATTGAAAAGATAATGCACCACAATCAAGTGGGGTTCCTCTCAGGGTTGCAAGGTTGGTTCAACTTAGGGAAATTAATAAACATAATACATCACATCAATAGACTTAAAGACAAGAATCATGATCATCTTAATAGGTGCATTTGACAAAATACAGCACCTCTTCATGTTCAAAACACTAGAAAAACCAGGGATAGTAGGAACGTACCTTAATATTGTAAAAGCTCTCTATGCTAAATAGATATGCTCTCAAGGCCACATTATTCTAAAAGGAGAAAAATTGAAAGAATTTCCTCTAAAAACTGGAACAAGACAGGGATGGCCTCTTTCATCACTTCTATTCAACATAGTCCTAAAAACTCTAGCCAGAGCAAAATCAGATAAAAGAAATTAAAAGGATTCAAATCGGAAAAGAAGAACTCAAGCTATCACTATATGCTAATGACACGATTTTATATTTAGAAGATCCAAAAAATTCCACCCCCAAACTTCTAGAACTAATAAATCAATTCAGTAAAGTAGCAGGATATAAAATCAGTACCCATAAATCTCACGCATTTCTATATATCAGTGATGAATCTACTGCAAGAGAAATTAGGAAAACTACCCCATCACAATAGCCTCAAACAAACAAAACACATAACAACAAAAACAACAAAAACAACAAAAACAAAAAACAAACTTTGGGAAACAATCTAACAAAAGAGGAGAAAGACCTCTACAATGAAAACTACAGAACAGTAAAGAAAGAAATTGAAGATGACCTTAGAAGATGAAAAGATCTCCCATGCTCTAGGTTAGGCAGAATTAACATTGTCAAAATGGACATATTACCAAAAGTGTTATACAGATTTAATGTAATTCCTATTAAAATATCAAGGACATTCTTCATCGAACTAGAAAAATCAATCATGAAATTCATTTGGAAAAATAAGAGACCCAGAATAGCCAAAGCAATCCTTAGCAAGAAGAATGAAACAGGAGGCATCACAATACCAGAGCTTAAACTATAAGCAATAGTAACAAAAACGGCATGGTATTGGCACCAAAACAGACATGTAGACCAATGGTACAAAACAGAAGAGACAGAGACAAACCCACATAAATATGGTTATCTAAAAGATTCCAAAAGATACACTGGAGAAAAGATAGAGACTCTTCAACAAGTGGTGCTGGGAAAACTGGAAATCTACATGTAGCAACATGACATTAAACCTCTATCAAAATCCTGCATAAAAATAAACTCAAAGTGAATCAAAGACTTAGGCACTAGAACAGAAAACCTGTGACTAATAGAAGAAAAAGCAGGCCGAAATCTTCATCATGTCAGCTTAGACTTGACTTCCTCAACAAGATTCCTAAAGTGCAAGAAGTAAAATTAAGAATCAATAAACGGGATGGATTCAAACTAAAAAGCTTCTTCTCAGCAAAGGAAACAATCAATAACATGAGGAGAGAGCCTACAGAATGGGAGAAAATCTTTACCACATGCACTAATCTCCAGGATATATAAAAAACTCAAAAATTTAACACCAAAAAAAAAAAAAAAAAAAGGAGGAGGAGGAGGAGGAGGAGGAAGAAGAAGAAAGAAAAAGAAGAAAGAAGAAATAATAATACAATTGATTAACAAACATATAAAAAATGTTCATCATCTCTAGCAATTAGAGAAATGCAAATCCAAACGACTCTAAGATTTCAATTCACTCCAGTCAGAATGGCAGCTATTGAGAATATAAACAACAATAGCGTTGACCAGGATGTGGGGAAAAAGGCACACTCATACACTGTTGCTGGGACTGCAAATTGGTGTAGCCAATCTGAAAAGCAGTATGGAGATTACTTGGAAAACTTGGAATGGAACCACCATTTGACCCAGCTGTCCCACTCCTCAGTTTATACCCAAAGGACTTAAAAACAGCATACCACAGGGACATAGCCATATCAATGTTTATAGCAACACAATTCACAATAGCTGAACTATGGAACCAACCTAGATGCCCTTCAGCAGTGGAATGGATAAAGAAAATGTGGTACATATACACAATCATATATCACTCAGCCTTAAAGAAAAATGAAATTATGGCATTTGCAGGTAAATGGATAGAACTGGAGAATATCATGTAAGTGAAATAAGCTAATCCCCCCAAAACCAAAGGCTGAATGCTTTCTCTGATATGCATATGCTGATCCATATTTGGGGGCGGAGGCGGGGGTAGGGAAGAATGAAAAAACTTTGGATATTGCAGAGTGAGTGAGGAGAGGGGAGCGACTGTGGGGGTGGGAAGGACAGTAGAATTAGACAGACATTATTACCCTATAGAATGTATGATTATACTACTGCTGTGACTCCCCGCCATGCATAGCCAGAGGAATGATAAGTTGTGCTCCATTTGTGTACAATGTGTCAAAATGTATTCAACTGTCATGTATAACTAATTAGAACAAATTAAAAGAGTTAAAAAATATATATATAATCCTTACCTATTGGGAGGGTCCAACCCATAATGCAGGACCATAAACACAAATTAACTCCAAATGTAGACCTAAATGTAAGGGCACAGACTATAAAACTCTCAGAAGAAAACACAGAATTTTTTGTTACCTTGGATTAGGCAATAGTTTTTTAGATTTAATACCAAAAGCATAAGCAGCAATAACAATAATAAAAAAAAGATGTTGGATGTTGTGAACATTATAAACCTCCTTTGTGTTTCAAAGGATGCTATCAAAAAGTGAAAAAAATAGGGCTGGGGATGTGGCTCAAGCGGTAGCGCGCTCGCCTGGCATGCACGCTGCCCGGGTTCGATCCTCAGCACCATATACAAACAAAGATGTTGTGTCCACCGAAAACTAAAAAAATAAATATTAAAATTCTCTCTCTCAAAAAAAAAAAAGTGAAAAAATACATTGTAGGAAAAATATTTACAAATTCTATTTGATAAGAAACATGTATCCAGTATATATAAAGGACTCAACTCAGTAATAAAAATAACCAAATTAAAAAAAAAAAAAAAAAAAAAAACAGGCAAAGGACTTGAAAGACTTTCCTTTAAAGAAAATATACAAATAGCCAATAAACACAAGAAAAAATGCCTAACATCACTAATAAAAACCACTATGGGAAATACAAATCAAAACCACTAGACATACCAGTTCAAACCCATTGGATGGCTATAAATTTTATAGCAGACATGAAGAAACTGGAACACTCCATACCTTGCTAGCAGGAATGTAAAATGGTGCAGCCATTTTGGAAAATAGTTTTTCAAAGGTTTAAACGATGAGTTACCATATGGCCCAGCAATTCTACTCTTAATTATACGCCCAACAGAACTGAAAACATGTCTAAACAAAAAACTTGTACAAATGTTTACAATAGCACTATTCATATTAGTCAAAAAGTGGAAACAACCCATATGTGCATCAACTAATAGAGTATGGTATATTCCTAAAATATGTTATTATTAGGCCAAAAATGATGCACTTATATATTTTACAATAGGAATAAACCTTGAAAACATGCTAAATAAAAGAATCAGTCACCAAAGAATACAAACTATACGATTCTACTTAAATGAAATGCCCAGAATAGGCAAATTTGTAGAAATATAATATATTAGATCAGTGGTTGTCAGGAATTGAGAAGAATAGGGGCTTGGCAGTAAACTGGTATGGGGTTTCTTTTGTTGGGGGCATATCACAAAACTGTTCCCATATTATAATTATGATTGAATAATTCAATAAATATAATTAAAAATCATTAAGTTGTACACTTTCAATAGATCATATTTATGGGATGTGAGCTTTATCAATAGAGCTCTTTTTTAATTTTTAGTAACTTATATATGTTTTATTTTATTTAGTTTTGGACATATTATATCTTAAACTTTATTTTTTAAAATTTGTTCTGATTAGTTATACATGATAGCATAATGAATTTTGACATACTGTATACAAATGGGAGTTAATAAAACTCTTTTAAAAACAGAGAAGGTTAAGATAGATTCTCTTAGCTTCCCTTTAGTCAAGTTCCAATTTCTATATATCTCTGTGTATATGGTAAAGAACAATAAGCACTAGCTATGTAATTCATGGGCCCTTATAATATTCTACCCTTTGCAGTAAGTCAGAATGGGAACAGGAAGACTGGCAAAGAACATAAACGTTCAGTATTTAATTAAAATTAGCAGTAGAAAGATGAGGCTAAGAAGAAATTGAACCAAATGACCTTGGATAATATCAGGACCATCAAGAACTGTTTTACAGAAGAAATATGAAAACAGATTGTTTAGTTTGGTGGTTAGGGAGTGCACTCTACATCTCTAGCAGTAGCCACATTTCATGTGCACAATTAACTACATGTGGTCAGAGGCTCCTGCAAACCCAGTGTTATATATAACACTTACATCATAGCAGAAGTTCTATTAGGCATCGCTGGTGTTCAATGTTTGAAACGGCAACCTCTGAAAGCCACAGATTTTTTAATTGCTATATTTACTCAGGTTTTCAAGACTTATAAAACAATGTAGTTAAATGGTCTTTTTAGGTATGGTGGTCGTATGTCTTGGCTTTTCTAGAATAATAACAATATATCTTACTTTTTATATTACTTTCAATAATATGAGCCATTAAAGTAAAACTTAAGGTAACAACTTCAATTTTTAGACTTTTTATATAAATAAATAAGCAGATAAAATCCTTCATCATATCATTTGTCCCAAATTTTGATACAAGAAAAATATAAATAACAATAATCCATACAGCCTAGAAAGTGCTAGAGGCAGAGTCCCCCTTTCTTGAACCCTTTGTCTAGTTGACTCTCCCCACCCATGCTCGAACTTTGCCATGCAATTACTCACCGGGGCCCAGGTAGATCAGCATGCCCTGAGCTAGTATCCTGCTGGCTTCCGGTGCCATCTCTGCCAGGTAGTGAGTAAACTCGCTGCACCACTACTTGGACCCCCACTCCTGACCATGGGGCAGCTCCTTGGCTTTCCACCACATCCAGGAGAGAATCCCTAAGGGGGGATTCAGCTGTGAAGTGCTGCTTTGCCTTTTCGTGCCTGTTGGTCCATTCTGTGCCTGTGGTGGCCAGGTCACTACATACAACCTGGCCAAGACATGCAAAGAAAGCTATTTCAGTTTATAACACCATTCTTCCCTCCAAATGGCACTGTTAAGCAATCTCCCAATAGATCTGCAGTACAGTGAAGGAATGATAAAGATAAAAGAAAGAAACATGTGGTATGTGCCTCCATATCCTGCTGAGGAGGGGAAGGTGGGCAAGAGCAGTGTGGGCGGTTGAGTGTTCCATACCAATGTGATCACAGCACGAATAGTTCTGCTATTGAACACCTCAGGGTAATTTAAAAAAATTGTCTTTTCAGAAGTAGTGAATTCAACTTGAAAAACTAAAATACAAAATAAAAGAATGACTGAGGTTTGATGAAAATTAACCATTTTATTAAGTGCTTATTAAGGTGAAGCATTTTGCATGCTCACGTGTCCTCCAAACAACTCTATATAATCTGTCCTTTTCATATTAATATCCTTATCCTCACAATGATCCAGTGTGGGAGACAACAGCATTTATGACCATTTTATAAGGAAAATTGAGACTACCCAAGGTCACCTAGCACAAAGTGGTTGGGGGAAGATTTGAACCAGGACATGTGATTCCAGAGTCCATGTTCTTAACCAATATGCTACATGGCAGCCTCATTGACACTGTTATAAGAATATCATGCTAAGAGAAATAAGCTGGACCCAGAAAGTTAAAGATTGAATGATTTCTCTGATCTATGGAAGAAGGAAAAAAAAAGATAAGAAAAGGTGGGGAGAATTCCATAAAAATAGAAGAAAGATCAATGGGGTAAAGGAAGGGAATTAAGGGAGAGGAAGGAGGGACAGGATAAGGGAAGAATAGTGGAATAAATCTGATCTAACTTTCCTATATACACATATGAATATACCACAGTGAATCTCATCTTTATGTATATCCACAAGGCACTAATTAAAAAAGCATATAAGTAACTAGCAGAAAGATCAGATGAATACAGGGAAGGGAACGGGGAAGGGAGGAGGGAAGGGACAGGGGAATTACTAGGGACTGAATTAAAGCAAATTATATTCCATGCTTTTATAATTATGTCAAAATGAATCCTAATGTTAAATACAACTAAAAAGAACTAATAAAAAAATGGAAGTACAAAAAATGTACTTTTTTTTGTATCTTTATTTTATTTTTATGTGATGCTGAGGATCGAACCCAGTGCCTCATGCATGCGAAGCAAGCACTCAACCACTGAGCCACAATCCCAGCCCCCCCAAAATGTACTTTGAACCATGTTTTTAATGAGTACATCTACTTAATGTTTATTTTTAATATATTATTTACACATTATATATTTATAATATATATTTATAAAGTAAATACATGTATAATATATTTGTTTTATATTTATATATGTGTATGATCATTCTTCTTCTTATTATTTTTCATTATTATTATTTTTTTTATGTAGCACTGGGGATAGAACCCAGGGCCTTATGCATGCTAGCTAGCTAAGTGCCCTACCACTGAGCTACACCCCAACCCCATTTAAGCCATATTTAAAATGTTATAATTAAATTGATAAAAGTGCTCTCCTTTTCACATAAACCCCTTCAGATACTTGTTTTAACAGTCAATGGGAGATTTTTTGCTTGATTATATGATAAAAAACAGGGCGAGAGTTTGTCTACTTTTCTTTCTTATTTACCCTATCAGTCTCAGCATTCTGTTCTGTGGTGATTCCCGTAACCCACTGAGATTGAAGCCAGAGCACTGGCAGCAACACTGACTCTCAGAGCTGAGCATGTCCCTGGGGCACACATCATGCTCTCATTCAGTGAATTTTAGTGGTTCTCTAAATTCATCTTGGCAGATGACTAGGGCTCAGGGCCAAAAAAATTCCAAAAATCAACCTTTAACATGTAATCTCAGGCTTATACAGCTCTTTCTATCTCAAGGGACTCAAGGGATATGGCTCTTATGAAAAAAAAAATTTTAAATAAATAAGGGCTTAAACAACATTTTAAGTTACAAGATATGAACAGAGAAAATACTTTCATACATTTTAATACATTAGAATAAAGATTAAAAAATACATAACTAGAAAGATAAAAAACTGTAAGAAAACCACAACCAAATGCTGACCTGAATGATACTATCTTTAAGCACAACAATAAGATATTCTAACTTTATCTATGGGGGGGGGGTTAAAAAGTGAACATCCTAGGTCCATTAAAATCTAGCGACCAATGTGATTACAAGCACAAAACTTCTGGGCCAATGAGAGTTTACCTGACTTTCAGGTGAATTATTGGATAGATCCTTAATTTTAAACATCTGTGCCAAAGTGATGTTTCTTCTTGGAAGGAGTATGTCATGACAGTATAGTTTGTGAGTTGTTTCTGCATCTTCTTTGGCAACAACTTTCTGACAGAAATAAGTATTCAGAATAACAGGGCAACTTCCATTTGGGATAATAAGTTTTTGCCTAGAGAAGAAAAAGAAATTTCACAGTTTATTTGCAATGTTGAATTCTTATATTTTGCTAAATCAGAAATGCAAAGAGCAATGATACACCAGTTATTGATAACTAAAACCAGGCCAGTCCATGAAATGACAGCTGTCCCTAATGATGGACAGCTACAACCAGGCCAGAGATGAAGTAATTATCATCTCTAAAAACAGAGAGCTAGGACTAGACTAGCCAGCAGAGTGAGTGTTGTCTCTATTGCTTGAGGGAAACTGTCAATGGATCTGGCTTTACATTCACAGTGAATGCCCAGTGTCAAGAATGGATAAAGACCATTTAAGTCTTAGGCTTGAGCTTCCTCAGGACAGGCCTCAAGATTCTTAGGGAAAAACAGAATGAGCAAAGACTATATAAAAATAAGCTCAAAAACTGCCCAGTGAATTGTTATTTACAGATAAAGCCTTCAGACATTTCAAAAGCTCCTATCTCAAAGAACAAGACATTAAATGCTGAAGGAACTTCTACTACTTCTACTTTTTCTATCAAACTGACCACAGTCACTGAAATTGCCTACACTGAAGTAGAAAAGGTGTGTGGGAATACTCCAGAGAAAATTCTTCTGTTTCCTCTCTGACCTCTGAAGCAATGAAACATTTCAATGTAATGCCCATTCCTCAAAGGGGGAAGAACTGTTAATAAGAAAACTTGAGGACTCTGGATTCCGAAAGGAAGGAGTAGACATACTTTTTCCTGCTCTGCCTGACATTGTATATAAAGTAAACATAAGAAGATACTGAAAGCCTAGACCCTAGAGACCTCAGGACCCGAGAAACTACACAGCAGGAAGTCCCTGAAATTTCTTTGGTGTCTCTCTTATATCTCAGACTTGATATTGAAGAAGCTTGCAACCTGGAAACAGCAATGGAGGGAAAAAAAGCACCAACAAAAGACTGCTTTCTCTAATTAAGAGTTAAAGGAAAGGCCTAGCTTAGCAAGACAGAAAACTCTTTTATGACAATTTTTCCACTCTAGTCAAACACCAAAGAAAAATGATGACCTGTCTCTATGCATGCGAGCAAAGGCCAAGTGTGGAGCCTGAATTTCCATACTTACTGGGTTATAATGAGGGGTTTTCAAAAGCTAGGTCAGGATGGTGTGAAGAGATACTTGCTGGACCTCACTTCCACAGTAATAACCTCTGGGATGGTGCCAGAGGGTGTCTAAAGAAAAGTCAGGACTGTCACCACTGTCCGGTGATACTAAAACTACCCTCTATCTTCCCATGCTCACAGTGTTATCAGTGGAAGCCACCTGAGGGATAGCAACCAGACAGAGTAGTGTTAGGAGAGGCCTAGAAGCTGGAATTCATACCCCTGCTTAGCAGAAATGAGTCTCTTTGTCTCAGGTGTCAAGTGATAGTAACAATCTTCCCCTATCTTTTGCTACCAAAGAAGTGGAAGATAAAGCTATCCAAAAAGAATAAGTAAGATCCAGAATCTCATAACACAATACCTTAAATATCCAGGTTTCCATCTAAAAATCACTTGCCATACTAAGAACCAAGAAAAACCTCTACTTGAATGAAAAAGCTAATAAATAGATGCTATTGCTGAGATGACACACGTTAGAAGTATCTAAAAACGTTCTAAAGCAGCCATTATAAAAATTTTCAATTAGTTAATTAAAAATGCACTTGAGACAAATGAAAAGATAAAGTCCCAGCAAAGAAATAGAAACAAATAGAATACTTGTTAAAAACAAGTTTCAGAACTAAAAAATAAGATGATAAAAATTTAAAATCCAAAGGATAGCTTCAACAGTAGAGTGGACGGAACAGAGAAAAGAATCAGTGAATATTTACATAAAATAAAAGAAATTATACAATATGAATAAAAGGGAAAACTGACTGGAAAAAAAAAAAAAACGAAACAAAACCAACCAACAACATAGCTTCAGGAACTGTGGGGAGGTAGAAATAAAAATGGGACAATAAGGGTAAGATAATATAGATAAATACAATAGGTTTTCCTACTTTAAAATTTTCTAAATTATGATTCCAACAAAACTTATTATACTGTCTAATGTGGCTCTAAAGGTATGCAGAGGAAATACTAAAGACAGTCATTTTATAAAAAGAATAAATACAAAGGGAGGTCACATTTTCATATCTCACTCAAACTGGCAAAATGTTGATGCAGTAGACTGTGACTAATTATGTATATATAATGTAATTCCCAAAGCAATCATTAAAATAACTTTAAAAATTATAAGTACGTGTGGCATGGTGGCATATTCCTGGAATCCCAGCTAAGATAGGAGAATCATAAGTTTAAGATCAGAAGCAGCAACTTAGAAAGACCTTATCTCAAAACAAAAAATAAAAAGGACTGAGGATATGGAGATGTAGCTCAGTGATAAAGCTCTCCCTGGATTCAATCCTCAATACAAAAAAAAAAAAAAAAAAAGCAATTCATCTATATGCTATTTATAAGCAACTTACTTTAAAAATAGAGAGGATGAAAGTAAAAGAATGGGAAATGATATATAATCAAAAGATGAGGAGGCAACACAAATATTAGATGATGTAGGCTTCAGAGCAAAGAAAATGCCTTATTACACAGAGGGGTATTACCTAATGATAAAAAGGTCAATCACCAAGAACATTTAGTAATCCTACATGTGTATTTACCCAACAACATAGATTCAAAATACATGAGGCAAAAACTATAAAACTGAAAGTAAAAATCACCAAATCCATAATTAGAGTTGAAGATTTTAACATCTCTCTGTCAACATCTGATAGAACAACTAAAGAAAATATAGGCAAGGATAAAGACCACACAACAAACCATTAATCAACAGGCAGACCTAAAAGAATTAAGATCATATACAATATTTTCTCTTATCACAGTGGAATCAAACTAGAAATCAATAGCAGAAGGTAATACGAAATTTTTCAAACACTGGAAATGAGACAACACACTTCTAAGTAATTAATGGGTCAAAAGGGAGTACAATGAAAATTAAAAAAAAAACACGTTGAATTGAATGAGAATGAAAACTTAATGTATTAAAATCTGTGAAAAATAGTTAAAGTGATAACAATAGGGAATTTTATATCACTTAAGACTTACATTAGAAAAGAGGAAGAACCAAGTCAAATACGCTCTTAAATAAAAAACACAGAAAAAACTAGAACAAAGTAAACCCAGAGCAGGTGAAAGGAAATAAACAATAAAGAGCAAAAAAAATTAATGACATTCAAAACAAGAACACAGAAGAGGAAAAAAATGTAATAAAGAGTTGGTTCTTTAAAGTGATCAATGAATTGACTGACAAAGGAAAAAAGATACAAATTACCAATATCAAGAATGAAAGATCAGTACAGACCTTACAGACATCACAAGGTTAGTAATGGATTATTATGAACAACTCTCATTTTTTTATCTAAAAATGTAGATAAAACAGAATAATTCCTTAAAAAGAACAAACTACCACAACTTATATAATAGAAAAGAGATTATTTGAATAGCCACGTGCTATATTTTGGATGGTGGATGTCCTCCCAAGGATGATATGTTAAGGCTTGGCCTCACCATGGTGCAACTGTGAAATGATGGGACTTTAAGAGGTAGAGACAAGCAGGAGGTGTTTGGGTACCTGGAGTGTCCTCTTGAAGGGGACTGTGAGACCCTGGTTCCACCTTGCTCTTTTCACTCTGCAGCTCATTCTAATGTAAGTGGTTTGTATTGCCTAAGCTACAAGTCCAAAAGAATGGAGCCAATTTACCATTGACCAGAACCTCCAAATCTGTGAGCCAAAAGAAACCCTTTCTCTTTATAAATTCATTATTTCACATATTTTGTTAAAGACATGAAAAATTGACAAACACATCTTTAAAAATTGACAAACACTGCTTAAAATTTTTTTTTAGCTATAGACAGACACAATATTTTTATTTTATTTATTGTGGTGCTGAGGATCGAACTCAGTACCTCACACATACTAGGCGAGAGCTCTGCCACTGAGCCACAACCCCAGCCCTGTATCTTATAACTCTTAAGGAAAATGAATTTGTCATTCTAAAACTCCCAAAAGAGTTATCTCCAGGTTCAGATACTTTCACTGGAGAATTACACCATATGTGAAAAGAAGAATTAACACCAATGCACATTCTCTTCTAGAAAGTAGAAGAGGAGGAAAACACTTCCAAATTTATTTTATAATGCCAGTATTACTCTGATAATAAGACTTTGGACAGTACAAAAAAAGCCCAAATAAACAAACACGTAGAACATAGCCCAAGAATATAGATAAACAAATATTTAACAAAATATTAGCAAATAGAATTCAGTAATATGTAAAAATAATATATTATATGTGAGGCATTATAAAATATGACCAAGTAGAAATACCAGTTCAGATCCAGGAATTCAAGAATTATTTGATATTTGAAAAGTCACTTTTGTAGGTCTAAGGCTAAAAAAGAAAAACCATATAATTATTTCAACTGAAGAAGAAAAACCTTTTGACAAAGTTCAATACCCATTTAGATTAAAAAGCTCAGAAGACTAGAAATATAAAAATACACTTTTTCAACTTAATAAAGAATACTTACAAAAATTCCACAGCTAACAATGAAAGAAATTCTTTCCACCTAAAATGGTAAAAAGGCAAGATTTTCTCTCTCCACTTTTACTCAGTAATTTTACTTAGTATAGTTCTAGCAAGTACAAAAAGGAAAGAAAAGACATACAAATCAGAAAAGAGGAAATAAAATGACATAATTGCTTAAGTAAAAAATACCAAGGAAAGGGCTGGGGTTGTGGCTCAGAGGTAGAGGGCTCGCCTACCATGAATGAGGCACTGGGTTTGATCCTCAGCATCACATAAATATAAAATAAAGATATTGTGTGCACCTATAACTTAAAAAATAAATATTAAAAAACAAAACAAAACAAGGAAGCTGAATGTGCCTGCAATTCCAGTGGCTGAGGAGGTTAAGACAAGTATGATTG